GTGGATATATTGCATCTAGTACCATGATGTCACAGAGGATGGGCATATGGGGCCTGATGCAAAGCCCATTGGAATCAGTGGCAGGACGCCCACTACACCTGGAAGGCTGGCTTAAGGTACGCAGCTCCAGCTATGTAAATAATGTGGCTGGTGTCGATATATCTTAAGCTGAGCTTGGCACCATCTCCACAGCTGGAGGTTGATGGGAGAAATGCTCCCATCGACTTCCCTTACTCCTTGCAACAGCGAGGAGTACTGGTGCCAATGGGGGCTCCCTCAGCATTTGATTTAGTGGTTCCTTACTAGACCTGCTAAATCAAACCTGGAAGATGGATCTCCAGATTATCAATCCTGTGGTATGTTGAAATGTCACTTGACTTTAAAGAGCTTTGCATGAGGCTAACGCCACATGTTACTAGTAGAGGACAGTGGGAATAGAATAAGATACAATGTGTCAGGAAAGCAACAGAACAGTCAATATTCTGAGTGCTTTAGAAATGTGAGAATGCAACTGATAAATAAGGTTGCATAGGTGCCTGTTTGTGGAGCTGCCCCCATATCTAGCCTCAGAGAAGCTGCAATTGTTCATAACTTCCTCTAAATTTCTAATAAAATGCAATAAATATCTTTCTTTTGTGGAATTTAAAACATGAACATATGAAGAGCTGGAGTAATCGGCTACGTCTACATTGGTGCGATCTTGCGCAAAACCGGCCGCTTTTGTGCAAAAACTTGCTGCCTGTCTACACTGGCCGCGTGTTCTTGTGCAAGTACACTGATGTTCTAATGTATGAAATCAGGGCTTCTTGCGCAAGAGCTCTGACACTCCCGCTCAGGAAGAAGCCCTCTTGCACAACTGTTCTTGCGCAAGAGGCCAGTGTAGACAGGCAACATGAATTTCTTGCACAAGAAAACCCTAAGGTTAAAATGGCCATCAGAGCTTTCTTGCGCAAGAGACTGTCTACACTGGCACGGATGCTCTTGCGCAAAAGCACATCTCTTGCACAAAGGCACATGCCAGTGTAGACGCTCTCTTCTAGAAGAGTTTTTGCACAAGAACTCTTCCGCAAACGAGTTCCTGCGCAAGATCATGCCAATGTAGACGTAGCCATCTAGTTTATCCAACCTTTGGAGAGCACTGGCTTTTTTCCATACAGGCACTAGTAGTTAAATCTAATAATGTGAACTACAAGTTTAAATGACAGATCAGGAGCCTTCCTCCTTGAATCTGGGGTACTACTCATTGGCTCTGCAGAAGACCTAAACTGGAACGAACTAATGAAACAGTTCAAGGGATATTTTGCTTTTTCTAGTAA